GAAAAATTCGGCTACTAGTCGTGTATCACTTAAAACGAAATAGGATAAAAACAACTCTTATATAAGATTTACTGGTAGTATTGAAAACCTACTTATAAACTGAAAATTTTGTGAACATTGTTCGTAAATGATGGTTTCTGGATTCAAAGATGTCCGTCATTTGACGGACGACAGCTCAGAACTGATTCTTCTGGGTCTCCGGACGGTGATCCGCACAATACCTCAGTCCCAAGACCAAGACGACCCTTCTTCGGTATGCGGTGCGGCCAATTTACAAATCCCTTCCTGCCGCGTTCTTCAAAGAAGATGAAAGCTATGCCCGCATCAATCTGCAAGAGGAGTCTTTAAGACCCAGCTTCTCTTCATACCTCACAGGGACTTTGTACAGTCTCAGATGTGGCAGGCATCATCAGTGAGCTGCAGAGGCATGGAAACCCAGGCACTCTTCAAGTATACCCTGAATTGGTCAGCCGTTTGGTAGGGCAATGGAATCCTGAGGTCCACCCAACTGATTGTGGCAAATCTGACCTATCCGTTCTATGATTGAGTCGTTTATCCAGTCTCACTGACGGTCTCGACAGACGCTAACGTGGGGAAAGAATAAGTCGACTCTTACTGATCGGTTTCAGTCAGGTCAGCTGGCCTGAACCGTACTCCGAGGCAGGCACGGAAGGCCTGTCCGAAGCGGCCGGTCGCTGGCACCAGCTTGTGGAGACGCGGAAGACGGTTGAGTTGGCAGTTTCGTGGATCCAGGCCTTGAGGATTCGTCGAATGTCGGGCACTCGAAAGGCGTAGAGAATGGGGCTGAGGACGGTGTTGACGAGGGGCATATTGAGCGCCAACTGACCTGAAATGAAGACAACCAAACTGTCGGAAAGGGTGCGCAACAGTCGAAAACTGGCCTTCTGCAGCAGCAAATGGTCGGCCAGGTAGTGCAGACAGATTGGCGTAAAAGTGAACAAAAAGCAGACGAGCAGAATCAGGGTGGTGACTAGACCACGGCGGTAGCGATTCGCCTGTGACTGGCCAAGCTGTCGACTCGCCGAGCCTGACGACATCGTCATTTGGTTGCCACGGAGACAGGCAAAACTGGACAGCCAACCTGTGGAGTGAGAAGATGAGCCTCGTGACCAGTAGAGGCTTGGAGAGGTGGGCAAAACGGCGATCGAGCCGGTGGGTAGGGAAGCGATACGTTGCTGCTGCGGCTGGGGCGATTGCTGGGCTTCGAACGAGTAACGGTTGCCAAGGCGACGGGCGAC